TTTCATCGACTCTACTGTTGACTTCCTGTAAATTGTTCTTAATTTCAATTAATGTATTCTGTATTTCTGACTGTATTTTTTTTATCCTGCTGAAGTCATCACTATGTTCCTTGAGCATCCTTATAACCAGTATTTTGAACTATGCATCTAATAGATTGCTTTTCTCCATTTTGTTTAGTTTTTTTTTTCTGGAGTTTAGTTATGTTCTTCCATTTTGGCTATGTTTCTTTTTCTCCTCATTTTGGAAGCCTCCCTGTGTTTGTTTTTATGTGTTGGGTAGAGCCACTACATCTCCCAGGCTCGATAGAGTGGCCTAATATAGCAAGTATCCTATAAGATTCAGTGACACAGCCTCCCCTATTACCCAGTTTGGGTACTCAAGGTGCACTCACTGTGTGGGCTGTGTATACCCTCCTGTTATAGTCGAGCCTTGATCGCTGTTGGCATGTCCAAGTTCAGCCACTGCCTGTGTTCCATCTGGAATCACACAGCATTAGCTACAAAGTGATCTGCAGATGGCTGCTACTTGTGCTGGGCTTGGAGGTGTCCAGAGGATGCCAAGCTGTGAACCAAGGCTGGCTGCTGCTAGTTCTGGGCCTGGGACAACTTAGTGAGAGGTATGGGGCTCACTGAAGCCAGATACTGCTTGTTTGAGAAAATATAGGAAAATTCAAAGCATGGGCCAAGACAAGATGTTCATATGGAAAAGCCACTTGAAACAGCTTGGGTGGGCCTGAAAGTTGGGCAGGGAAGGGTCTCAGAGAATCATCAGGGTGCAGCAAACAGTATGAGTCAGGTTGATAGAGTTTCAGATATGGCACACACCTGCTGGCTCTGTAGGAGGAGGCTCCAGAAAAGGAACAATGGCCTCTGCCAATTTTTCTGTCTAGGAGAAAGCTGCCCCACAGCTCTTTCCCTGATAGTAGACAGTTCATTTCCTCCCCATATGTCTCCGATGCCTTTAAATCTGCTCCTCTGTACTAGAGCTCAGAGGGAATGAGTCTAATATAGAGTCTGTGTGTGAGCCTTTTAAGAGAAACTGCCTGGGAATCCTGAAGTGTCTGCTTTCCACAGCCCCGATTCCCGCTGGTCTTTACAGCCAGCAATTATGGCGATTCATCTTCCCAACATGGGAACCCTAGGATGGGGGTCCTGGTGTGGGGCTGGGACCACACACTCCTGAGATATCCCTCCTAATATTTATCTGCCACAGCGGAAGTGAGACCAGCCCATTGTGCATTTCCACCCCTTCTACCAGTCTTGATGTGGTTTCTTATTTAATTCTATAGTTGTGGAACTCCATTCAACTCAATTTCTGATGGTTCTGAATGATGGTTGCTCTATGGTTTAGTTGTAATTTTGATGTGGTTATGTGAGAAAGAGAGCTGTGTTTACCTACTCTGCCATGCCACTGATAGCCTTTAGATTAAAAAAATCTCTACATGAACACTTACCTGTACCTTTAATTTATATTACCAAGTAAATGAACAAAAATGTTCCCTGACCGCAGGGCTGGGCACCTCAACAGAACGATCCATGAAGTGCTGTGGTGGACCCTGCTTTTATTTATGTTGGCCTCTTACCCAGGGTGGGCCCACCTGGGAGACAGGCACCTGGCTGACCAGAGAGGCATGTGGGCTTCCACGTTATGGAATGAAAGCCACACAGGGGGACAAGTCCCAGAAACGTGTCAGTCATGCTCTGTCATTAGCTCATTTGAATACAGTCCTCTTCACAACTGCTTCGAGTCAGGCCTGGCTGAAGGAGAGAAGCCAGAGCAAGGCCTGCACATTCCTGAGAACCATCCATTCATATGCTCTGCAGAGGGGATGGCCTGCACAGAGGGGCAAGACAGATTCCTGGAGATTTGTTTGAAAACTGACTTCACCATTTTCTTGAGTGTGCCCTTGAGCAAGGTACCTAACATTTGAGGCTCAGCTTTTAACAGGCAAAGTGGGGGCCCATGGAGGACCTCGGATCACAGCGGGTTCATCAGAACTAAAATGGAGTGAACGTGTGCTATGTGCCAGTCACTGTGTTAAGAACTTTAAATCACGTGTTAATCACGTGTAGCTCTCCCAGAGAGGTTTTATTATTATCCCTGATTTATAAATGAAGGGAGTGAAGCAGAGAGGTTAGGTAACTTTTTTGAGTCCACACAAATAATAAGTTGGGAAACTGGGATTTGAACCCCAAGTGTCTGGTTCTAGAGTCTGTCCTTAGCCACATGAAGCTATGGTCAGCCAAGAAGTAGAGCAATTGAACATGCTTTTAGGAAACCACAGGTTTAAGAATTAAAGAATTGAGCTTTTTTTCGCTCGGCAGTGAGAACATGTGTGGGCTTTCTCCCATGCCTGGAGCTCACCCTTGGTACCTGAGAACGCCTCGGGCATTGGAGAGCCCTGACTTTCCCCATCGGGCTTTGAGGGCTCACCTCCGCTGGATCACCAAGACGGAGCAGCAATGGGAACCCACATCTACCCCACCTCTCCTGGGCCAGGCTGCATCTCTACAGCCTCCCCTCTCCCATACTGGAGTCACCGAATACCAGCCACCACTCTACTTTTCACCTCCCCACCGGCAGTTGACTTACTCTCAATCCGCAGACCTCTACTTGCATGTGGGAGAAGTATGTGCCACTGCCATCAAACCCCTTCACCAGCAGTGCCCACTGGCAGCCTGGCACAGGCCTGGCCCAGTTGCCAGAGCCAGGAGAGGGCTGGCTTGCCCTTGCACCATGAGTACCTGGCTGGCCTGCTCCCCATATCTCCAGGCTGGACTGTGGTGCTGTGAACAGCACAGGGATGGCTACCCCCTCTCAGACCTGCTGCTCCCCCCCACACACACTCTGGACCTCTGGACACCACGCAGGCCTGGTGGAGAACCTGGGCCTTCAAGACAGGGGTCAGCAGATCGAGGAGGTGCAGATCGTGAATGAGCCGCATCTGCTTCTGCATGACGACACTTATTCACAAAGGCCCCATCTCCATGACCGAGAACCCCTTGAGTCTCTTCTGTCAGAAGGAGCTGGTGGCCATTGTGATGGACCCCAGTGAGGTCTTCTGCTCTGTCCCTGGAAGATTGTCCATCCTGAGCTCCACCTCTAGATACAAAGTGACAGTTGCTAAAGTCCAGAGGCGATTGTGCTGACCTGAGTGCTTAACTGCCTCATTACTAGGAGGTGTTCTTGGAAGAGCCAAATCTAAAAATGGAGGCCGGTCCTGGCAGGAGAAGTTGGACAAGATGAGGCTGAATCTTCCAGCCTGGAGACTGAGACTACACATGTGTCCCTCCTGATGTCCTTAGTAGAAGGGGAAGCCATTCGTTTGGCTCAGGACTTTGCGTGTGTCTGTGAAGCAGAGTTTCCCAGTAAACCGGTGTCTGATCGGACTTCACCTGGGAGAACAGATGAGATGGCAGCGAGGAAGAACATGGTGCTGGCTGCACAGCACATGCGTAGAGAATTCACGGACCTTCTCAACCAAGATCAAACACCCAACGGGAACAACCTGCCTGCCCTAGTCTTGGAAGCCAACATTTAGAACTGCTTGTCACACTTCAGCCTGATTACCCAACGGGTTTGGCAGCCAGGCCATCTGTGCCACTGTGTCTGCTGTGCAGAACTACATAAAAGAGGCCTTGCTCATCCTGGACAAATCCTACAGGAACCCTGGAGACCAGAGCCCAGCTGATTCCAGGAAGCCCCTGAAGAAAATGGAGAAGCACCTGAAATGAAGTGGGTGGGAACAAAGGACTAAAAAATCTGGGAGGGCAGACATCCTCCAAAACCACCCTGGACCAGCACAGACAGGGGAACTGCTGTTGCCTGGCAGGCAAGTGGAGCTTGTTATCCTCGTCCCCATTAGAAAGGCCTCTGGCTCTCTGGATCTTGGCTTCACCATGACCTCTGGGAGTCCTTAGTATTTCCCTGGCACTGAAGCATTGGACACATTATCAGAAGGTGATAGGTGCTGGTCCTTGACTTATTAAGCTTATGTTTTATGATTTTGAACCCCATTCTTCCTGTCTCTGAAGTGGTACTACAAGTTTCAATACATCCCCTGAGCTAAACAAGAAACCTTGCATGCTTAGCTGTTGAAATGTCAAATTTGATGTCAATCAAATCAAATAACTCACATTGTTAAAGTAATTGCTAGCTTTTGTGCCCACTAAGAATTTATCTTTTAAAAAATATTTATCTAGTGTTTTCGGATATCGAATCCTACACACAGTAGGACACAGATTCTATCTGCTTAACAGCTAATGAATGGGTGGTATCAGACACACTTAAAAAGCCCCGTGTTCAAAGGGGGCCTGCAGGTTTTACAAAACTTGCAGAAAAAAAGCCTGATGATGATTTTATGTTTTTTTTAACTTTGAAAATTAATTCTTCAAATGGGAGATTCTTTGGAGTGACATGTTCCTTTGAGGTACTGAAGCTTTATTTGCCTATTTATTCCACATCTGGGTGTTTGAGAAAACTTGCAAAGGGGAGGCATGAAGCGTTTGGCCACCTGTCATCCTCACGTCCCAGAGGAAGTGCTGTTACTCTGAGAAACAGTATGTCAAGTGTACAGAATTTATTTATGCATCACGTAATCGGGTCTGTAAATATGGGGCACTTCTTAATGACTTTTTGAGAATGGAGTTTCTTTTTAATAACTTTTAAAGGTGATAGGGTCATCTAAACATCCTTAGGTTTTATTCATACGCACACAGGGTTAGGAATTAAGATCCTTGGCTCCCTGTTCCTGATGTGAAAGATTCTCTTTAATTGAAGCTCTCTGCTCACAAAGCAATAACTTGGTGTCTCATTTCTGCTGGGCTGACCCCAAGCAGGAGTGTGCAGTACAGTGCGTGGGGCGCCGTGGAGATTTGAAATTGAACTCTATAGGCCTGTAAGTGTTCCCACATTCATTGTTGTGTATCTGATAGCTGTACAATAAAAAGTATTCTCGATTTTAAAAAAGCATTAAGAATAGAGAATTAAGCCAAAAATCTTACATAGAAAATATTTTATATTAGCACTCAAATGTGACCATTTGCATTCCCAATATAGTACTACTTTTTGTCCACTGCTTAATAAAGCTGCAGCTCTAATTTGATAAGCTTTTAGGATATGCACTAAACACCTAAGAGGCACCAGCAAAGAGCCTATTTAGAACTCTCTGTCTAAATGGACCAATGAGAATTCTACACACACTGTGTGTGCTTCCAATGCTGAGAGCCGGAAGAATACGGACCACCACCACCATTTTCCCAAGTTGCAGACGAGCTGTCACTTCCATCTAGTATTTTAATTGCTGGGATTTTGTTCAGGTGGTAGAAGGATGGGGGGTACTACATTGTTTTGCCTAAATAAACAAACCCATGTATTGTGTGGACAGCATTCCAGTAATGCCGTGGTCACACCACTCAGCCAAGATGGCTGACTCTTGCGTCTGCTCTTCCTCCAGCCGTCTGAGAGCAGCCTGTGCTCACTTTGGTGTGGTCTCCAGCGGTGATTTCTTAATGCTTTGTGCTGTCTGGTTTGGATTCTGCAGGTGTCCCGAAACTGCTTTTTTATTTGGTGTTCTTTGGACTGGAAAGAAAAAAATAAGTGTATTAATGTTTAACAACAACAACAAAAAAAAGAATTGAGAATTAAGCCGTAGTTTAAGAGTTTATGCAGAGTGCATTTCCTTTAAGTTATATTTCCTAAAAGAGCAAGACAGAAATTTTTAGAAAAAGTTAGACTGCAGAAGCAATAAACACAATCTCAAGTTTCACGAAGCACCGTTCCTTTTTGTTTTGTTTCAGTTTGCTTTGTTTGTTTGTTAGTGGAAACAGTTTTGCTGTGTGGTTATTCTGTCCTGCTTAAAGATGTGGCACTGAGTTGAGTTATTATACACCTTCATCCGGGAAAAATTCAAATCCTGCCCTCCAAAACACCCAATCCAAGTTTCACCCAATCTCAGGCCCTAGGAGATTCTAGAAAAGTATTTTTAAACATAATAATGATATGTTCCAGATGAACTTACTTTGTAATTTAATGGTTTTTGGTTATTTTTACATTATGTCAAGTCAGCCTTTTGAGGCCCCGGAAAGACCAGAAGCACACTGATGTGAGGAACGTGGCGGTCCACTTTGCATAACTCTGTCATAAGCTCATCCTGCAGAGTTTTGAGGCTTTCTTTGCCTATTTTTTAGTGCTTCTTCCGATACAGTGATACATATTTATTTTCCACTGTGATTCAAGTTTTCATTAATTTAACAGTTAAAATCAACAGAGGTTGATAAATGCCAATATAAAAATTCTGAAATTAACAGCACTGAAATTAACAAAGAACAGTTATAGTAAAGGAAATTAAAACAAACAAATCTAGTCAATAAGTAGAAGTATTTATAGCACTTATTCATCTTTTGATGAAATTTGTTATTACAGTAAATACTGCCTACATTAACTTTCTTTTCCTTATAAAGCAAATGGACATTTGCGTTACATAATCTCATGACAAACATATTTTAAGACATTATAATTAACACTTGTTATCACATTACGGAAATAATAGTGCCACCATGACTTTTGTGAGGGAGGACTCGGTAACTGTCATTGCTTCTATTGAATTACCTTTCTGAGAGGGGATTGTATGTCACCTGCTCTGTTTTGCAGCCCCCAGAATGAAGACTCTTCCTTCCATTTTGATGGGAGTGGGTATTCTGTCGTGGAGAAGACACTTCGGGCTACTGTGACACACATAATTATGCTTTTTAGTACCTTTTCAACGAATGGGCTTCTTCTCTACCTCGCTTCGAACGGCACCGTAAGACTCCTTATGGGGCACTTGGCCCTGCTGGGTGTGCACAGTTAGGTTGTTATGAGGACATTTATGTTTAATGAGTATTTCATTAGCATATACTAATTATACATACATATATACGTATATATATATATATATGCCATAATATGGCCCCATTTTATTTGTTATATTAATACAAATTTATTAAAGAATCTTTAGAAGAGCACCCAGTAGAAGATAGATTTCCCATCATTATAGATATCAATCAAACATTTACTCTTAAATTTTGAGCTTAAATAATGTCTTATTCCACATTCACTCTTACCACTGTGGCCTTATTTGAAATTCATTCACTAGAATTTCATGTTTCCATTTTTCTATCTCATGTATTGGTGATTTCTCTCAATCGTCTAGTTTTATTTTAGAACTAGTCCATTTGTCAGTCTCCATGAAATAGATACAGAGAGGTTCCGTACCTTCTACTGACTTGTAGGTTTTGCTAATAATGAGTTTATCTCATATCTGTGTAGTGTCCATTTAGTTTCATAGCATCGGCCTCTGGCTGTTGGGCCAGGTCCAGCTTTCTTAGTTTGACTTCAGAAACTTTCTGCCGTCCCCAGTGTGAAGGGGAAGAAAACCTTGTGATAACAGTGTGGCCATGGGTAACAACTTTTTCTTCTTTACAGAAAGACTTTTTATCCATCGAGCTGGTCCAAGGCAGAGTTAAAGTTACAATTGACCTGGGTTCAGGGCCTCTTGCCCTTGTTACAGACCAACGTTACAACAATGGAACCTGGTACAAAATCGCCTTCCAGCGAAACCGGAAGCAAGGTAATCACAGCTGAATGGACTGGGTATTGGTTGCCCTCACAAGAATAGAAGTCTTTCCAAAATTTGTGGTCTTCACTGACTTTAGCTTTCTGGGTGCTATTCTCATTGAAAGCCATCACATTATTTGGAATACTAAGCATCAGGATTCATATTTTTCCAGAGAAATATTTAATTCATAGACTGCTAACAAATGTATTATTTAACATTAAGGGTTCAATTGGAATCAAGAATTAAATCAATTCTACTTACTTTCTGGATTTACTGACTTTTGTACAGAGGATTTTTAGTTAATAGTTAAGAACATTCGCTGGTGAAAATGGCAGAATGTAAAAGAACGTGTCTTTATAAATGAACTTTGTTTGCAGAAGTTTGTGTTTTACTCTTTGTAGCAAGTGATTTTTATCCTATTGTCTATTCTTTTCGATCCTTCAGGACTCCTAGCAGTCACTGATGCTTATAACACCAGTTACAAGGAAACCAAGCAAGGGGAAGCCCCAGGAGCATCTTCTGACCTCAACCGTCTTGATAAGGATCCAATTTATGTGGGTGGATTACCCAGGTCAGGACTTGCAAGGTATGACACCACAGTACCCAATTTCCTTAGTTACCAACCAGCTATACTATAGTGGTTACTCTACTAGTTTCCCAGGGCTGCCATAAACAGGTACGCAAACTGGGCGGCTTAAATAGCAGAAATGCATTCTCTCACCAGTCAGAAGGCTACAAGTCCAAAACCAAGGTGTCAGCACAGTTGCTTCCTCCTGAGGGCTGTGAGAAGAATCTTTGCCATGCCTCTGTCTTAGCCTCTGGTACCGCGAGGCTTTCCACAGCACGTAGATGACATTCTCTCTGTGAGCACATGTTGTCTTCCCTCTGTGTATGTCTCTCTATGTATGTGTCCCTCTGTGTATGTGTCCAACTTTTCCCTCTTCATAAGGACACCAGTCACACTGGATTAAGACCTACTCTAATGACTGCATCTTAACTTGATTACATTTGTGAAAAATCTATTTCCAAGTAAGGTCATATTCACAGATGCTGAGGGTTAGAACATCAGCATCTTTGGGGAAGGACATAATTTATCATAACATCTGCTTTGATTCAAACCACTCTATGCCATATTAATTGAGAATTGAAGAAAGCCTTCTGTAGTCAAATTAATGATTTTATATTTATTGCCTTTAGAACATCTAAAAATGGTTACTGTGTAATATTTGGAGACCCCGCTTTCCATCACAAGTCATTCTCCTCTCTGGTAGAGTAGTAGAATCTCTTTCTAGGCACACACATACAAAATCATGCTTCTGCAGACTTATCTGGATCCTCTTTTATGTGATTAATGTGAATAATATATATAAAAGTAGAAAAAGCAGCATCAGGAAGTTGGATGAAAGATGGCAGAGAAGAGAAGCAATGAAATTCTTTTATAACACCGATCCATGTTTAACTTTGTGACTTTAATAGTTCACACAAACTTTCTGTGGCCCATGGTCCTCAGTTTTATAGCTTTTGATTAGAAAAATTAAGCCCCAACTTTTTTTAAAGTCATATACAAAAGGCCTACAGTCAAAGCAAGATCGCTTCTAGGGAGAGGAGTTATCGAAAGTCCACACTGAGTCACCCAGCCAGAGGCTTTCAAATGCACATTTGCAAGCAGTACGCTGCCTCAGGCCGAGTCCCTGCACAGAATCCCCACATGTGGCACAGAAGATCAGCCACTCCAGCTGCTATGGGCTGAGCAACCCAGGCCCACTTTTTGCTGGAAGTTTATGAAAGTTTCAAGGAACATAGTTTATAACCACAGTCACCCCTCCCCTTCCCTGGTCTTAAAAATGAATACATTTAAATTTCTGGGAATTGGTCACATGTGCCCCAGGTCTTACCCCTCCACCAAGACGGAGCCAGCACTGGAAGCCTGTCTCCTAATCCCTGATTCCAGAGATCACCCCCTGCCATGGTGTGCTGTGGACGTTCCTGCAGCAGCAAGTTCATGTGTGCTTTGCCCAAATAGCACAGAGTGTAGGCATCAGAGAAAAGGACAGAGCCCCTTTTCTAGGAAGACATCCCAAATCACAGACTCACTCCAGAAAGGACTCAGGTATCAGAAGGTCAGCCTCTTATCTACAAGGGAAGAAACATTGAGATTTGTCCTAAATCATAGAGTTGTTTAGTGATTCACAGCTCATTGCTCCACACAGAGAGAAAGGAACATGAGATGTGACTCTAACAGAAAACCATGTTCCTAGCTAACATTTAAGAGTATAACTTAGTATTATCCCTATTTTGGAAAGGAGAGCCTGACCACATTATAGCCTCACCCCACTCACCACAGCAGTGTGGCAGCTTCTGTTAAGAAAAATATGATATTGGCTTGGAGTCTACAAATAGGCTTGTGAATAATCCCAGACTTCACCGAATTCCATTATTTCATTCAGGACTAAGTTCGTGAGTATGCAGTGTGGACAAAAACCAAGCCTTCTCTAGCCGTGCTGTCTTAGGAAATTACGTTGCCTGTCCTTGACCCCACGGACGCAAACGTCCTATCTCTTGCAGACTGGATTATAATCCCTGCACTATAATTTCCTCATGCCAATACTGATTTTTTATTGGCTTGTGTTTTAGTATGTTGAAATTGTAATGACTATAATAGTTTCCCTTGAAATATCAAACATATTTTTTACAGGTAGCCATCCAAATAGTCAATCCCACAAAATTCAATCCCTTTCTTAGCCCTAAAGAGAGCATTTTTTGGAGACCTGAAGTTCTTACCATCATTAGCGTTCTTAAAGGGAGACCTAAACATTTCTGCAGAAGGACACTTGGAAACAGATCTTTCTTATTTATCGGTCCATTTGTATTCCTTCTTTCAAAAACGGAGTCATAATCCTTGTTCTCATGCCCTTCCCTACAGGAAAGGTGTCACCAGCAAAAGCTACGTGGGCTGCATCAAAAACCTGGAAATATCCAGATC